TTGGCAAGGATGACCTCTCTCCCAGAATTGAGGATAACCATCCCCCCTGCCGCATGTGATCCCAATCTCACCGCCCCATCCCACATACAAACCGCCATGTCAGCACCATCCGGAAAACCTGACAGTGCCAGAGGTCGTGAGGGCTGTGAAATTGGATCACGGGGAAAGTGAAGCCATTCCTGCACTTGCTGATAGAATTGACGCATTAAGACATGAATACCGAACTGCTTGCCTTCAAAGACCACCCAATTCCGGGACCGCCAAATCCTCCATAGTACAGCCACTACAGTCATTACGAGAGCCGGGTTCTGAATCCTACCCAACACATTCTTCAGAAATAGCGGGAACGTATGGCGAGGTAATCCTTCACCCAAGTGGGTTAGCCCAGAATGCACCCACAATGCTCGAGCCACCGGACACTCCAAGAACAAATGTTCCATCGTTTCCGAAGCCTCCCAGCATACCGGACACCGGGCCATAACAACCACCTTCTTCTCTCGCAGCGCTTCTGTAGTAGGCAGAATTCTATGAAAGATCTGCCAAACAAACACCCTAAGCTTTGGAGGAATATCCGCCTCCCATAACCTGATCCAACTTTGCTTATCCATCCAACTCGCCGAGGCCCTCCAATGACCCTTCTGCCGATCCAAGTTCACCGCAACGTAGTACGCGGACTTAACAGAGAACTTGCCATCCGGAGTCGAGTGCCAGATCATTTTATCCTCAATATCCTGCCGCGGCAACGGGATGGCCTTGATGGCATTACAGGTTGCCGGGTCAAACCATTGACTAAGTTTAAGCTGATTCCAACGACCTTCACCACTCAGAATCACCTCCTCCACCCTTAAACCCTCCCCATCAGGAACCACGCACGGGTTATAGACTGGGATCCGGGGATGCTGCGAAGGTATCCAACTGGATGCAAGTAGAAGAGCCTTTTGCCCATTCCCAATTTGCCAACGCAACCCAGACACCAATAATTCTCGACCATAGAGGATACTTTGCCATCCCCACGATGGACGAGACCGGGCCTGAGCAGTCAGAAACGCCCCATTCGGGAAATATTTACCTTTGTACACCTGGGCCAGAAGGGACTGGGGTTCCATAAGAATACGCCAACCAATTTTAGCAAGCAACGCTTGATTGAAAAACTCCATTCGGCGAAACCCCATGCCCCCTTCATGCTTGCTTTTGCACAAGTTCCTCCAAGAAATCCAGCGAATCTTAGACTTCCCGTCTTCCATACCCCACCAAAACCGTGCTATATGCTTATCCAGGAGGCGGCACAATGCCAGGGGAAGCTTAAAGCAGGACATAACATGCAGAGGCAGGGCTAAAGCTACAGACTTAATCAATGTCTCCTTAGCAGCCCAGGACAAAGTTCTACGCTTCCATCCCTGCAACCGATCGCAACTTGTACAAAATTTGTTGGGATATTGTACCGGAAAATGATTGGCATGGTGGGTTCATGGCTTTATGTCTTTTACTCGTACCGAGAGAAAGGACCTCCTCGACGGGAAAGCAACAACAACACTAAGACAGCCATACGAATTTGTGGTGAAGCCAACCGAAATACTTACATGCCACATCACACGTCAGTGGCTTACAATTATTTAAGTAACTCATGTGTGTATAATGAGTAAATTATTGGTGATGTACTGTTGAATTCAATGTACTGTAAAATACAATGTTTGATGTATGTGACGGTGTATATTATATTAGTTAAAAACTGAGATAGAACAATTTCACATATATAATCGCAACTTCTAAACGACTCCTACATATTTGGTCACTCGAATGATTTTTCAGGTGTGGGATTCACGAAATTTTTCTTATTTGTTAGTTATTCAATTCAAAACTCGTTTAAGCATGGGTCATTATCGGTTCAATATTGTTAAATTTATTCTACATGACGGTCAATTCTATTGTTTGACCATTAAATAAGTAGTAATGTGAAAATTAAAGTATAAAAATAAAATTTATTTATTTGTAATTGTCCACCTCACAATCATAATTATTAAAAAAATTAAAAAAGTCCTTTTTAATTTCAACCAAGGTTGTCAATCCGGTTTAGCCCATTGGGCCGGTCGAGTAAGTGGGTTGAGGGTTAATGGATCGACCGCTTTAACTTGGTTTAGCCTGGATAAATGGTAAAACTCATTATATTGTTCATACATATATAAATTATACAAAATCTCATCTAACATATGAGTAATAACTAATAACATATAACATTACACTAAAATAACATGTCGTACTTGGATCCAACATCTAGTGAAAATTCACACACACTTATATAACATTAATGTTCAACTTAGAATTCCAAAGATCGGGTTAGGCGAAAGGAAAAATCGGAAAATAGGCGTATTTAACCAACCAAAGGAAAAACGACGTCATTTGACCTCCAATATGATACCTTGCAGTGGGTCGACCTGACAGGTGTGTACTACTCGTTTATCTCACTAGGTCAGGTTCAAAGGGGGCCAACTGAAGAGTCGACCCACGGGTTGACAACCTTGATTTCCACCCACCACCATGGATACTCATTCGTTGTTTTCCAGCTATTGGCAGTGTTATTTTTCCTATTACTAATAATTTGAAATCATAATTAATCTGTAATCATATACCATTTCTACCGATGAAGTGAAAATACAACAAATCAGAAACAAACATATTGAATACGATTTTAAGGTTAATTACCCTGAAGGACTGCCAGAAGAATACGCCAAAGAGTTTAATAAAATATACGCTAATAATAAGATCCCAGCTGATATAGCTCAGCAGTTAACCGATAGGATGGTTGAGATTACAGACAAACAAGAAAAAGATAGTGACACCAAGTTACTTAAACAATCCAGAGATGATACCCAACGTCTAAAAGAAGAATTGGGAGCAAGTTTTGACAAGGTAGTTTCAATCTTGTAATAATAATTGATTCAATGTTTTGCAATTAATATTAGGGGTGGGAAACGGTCTAGAACGGACTAGACTAGATCATATATATGGTCCATGATCCAGACCGAGAAACTAGGACACAGACCATGGACCAGACAATGTACAATATGGTCCAAACCAGACCACACCAGTACGGTTGAGGTCTGGCACGGTCCAGACCACATACCATATTAAAAAAAATCACCAACACATATATATTAAGTAGGAACACTCCACAATTTCGTCATTTTCAATATAACTGCCACAATAACCCACCATATGGCAACATTTTCACATAAAATGAGATGAAATTACTATGCTTGATAACCGCATTAATCACCCTAAAATTAGATTGAATTACTAGCTGGCTGCTGAGCATGGTCCAAATGCGTTCATAGACGAAGTAGTGATATAGTTTTGATGCCGGTCAAAATTATGAGAATCCTTTATGATCTGATGTTGCCATTCATTATGTCAATTTTGTTGATGACTAGTGCTATTTTAATCCTAGCTACTGGCTAATCAACCTATTTTTACATGTAAGGTATAAATCGTATATAGCACATCACCAATGGACTTGTGCAACATCCTCCAAAACAATAACAAAGAACGAACCATGCCGAATGTGCGACAGTTAGAGAGATCGTTTACACAATACATAACACAACTAAAACTGGAAATGCTATTTGTGTTTGAATTTGCCTAGCTCTAATATCTGCTCTGGTGTTAACACACACAATGCATGGATTGTCTTTGTGTATTGTGAATTGGAGATCCTTCCACTAGGAACATTAGATGTTCTCTCTTTGTAAGATTATTATTGTTATTTGTTGGATGTCTTTTGGTGCAACCGCTGACTAGGATAAGAGCAAAAGAAATAGCCTGGACGGTTAACTACAGTCTAGACCAGACCAAACCGTCCCAGACCGCTAGTTAAAAAGGCAGACCATAGACCAGACCAAGTTGCATAATGGTCTTATGATCCGGACTAAATTATACAGTACGGTCTAAATTGCGATTTTGTCATACCATTTGATCTAGATTCCCCACCCTGATAGAAAATTTTGAAATGATAGAAATATATTGTGAGAAAGGGTTCCCTCTTCTCTGTAATGCGATGATTTTGCATTTAAAATAGAATTCTTCATCTAAAAAGGGCTGGGTTTCAAAAGAAAGAAACGACAGGTTTGATTGTGACTGATTTCACAGCGAGAGAATGGTTGCGGAAGCCGCCGGAAAGAGACAGAGGTGGTGGTGGCCGGCCGGTGGGACTGCAGTAGATCAAGTGGAGAAGAAGAAGAAGGGGCCAAAATTGAGAAAGGAAAAATCCCCTTTATCATTTAATTTAATTCTTATCTCCTTTTTCTTGGCAATGTCCACAAATGTAGCTGTCCATCTTCTGAAATACTCTCTTGATTTTTCCCCCTCAAAACACATTTGTCCCTATCTCCTTTCAGTTAATGGCTTCTGTCAAATATGGGGAGCCTGCCTTCATAGACATACGATATCGTAGCTTCCCGTCGCTGGATGCGAATATTTCTCTGTTTGTTTGTATCCTATGGCAGAGCCAAAGGAATTGTGAGTGGACACATCTAAAATTTGGAAATACCTATCAAATTTAATTGGATACATTCACTACAACAAAAACTAGCTTTTGCAACCAAAAAGTTTACAACCAAACTAAATTTGGTTGTGAAAAGGGTAGTATATACAACCAATTATATTTTGGTAGCTAAAATATTAAAAATTTGATTGTCTATTAAAGTCAAAGTATTGATAACCAAATAAAACTTGAAGAGACCAAATAATTTGGTAGCAAAATAATTTTACTTTTTCCAACCAAATAATTTTGGTAGCAAAATGATTTTTACCTTTTCCAACCAAATAATTTGGTAGCATATTGATTTTTACTTTCCCCAACTAAATATTATTGGTTATGAATTTAAACATGAGTATTAAATAACTAAATAATTTGGTTGCATACCCAATAAAAACATTTCAGCTACTAAATTATTTGGTTGCAGTTGTATACTTGTATTGATATTTAATAGAAGTGTTGACGGGTTTTATTGGGAAAAAAAAGAAGAAATAACACTCAACTTTACTCTTTTCTCATCTCTTTCGTTCACTCTTCCTAGTTCCTACTACCCAAAATCTCCGAACTCCAACTTCTCCTTCTTTTCTCAAATCACCTGATTCCCTCTATACTACTTTGAATTCTTTGAGATCCGGCTACCAAATAGAGAGGCAAAAGCAAATTTTGTCCCGAAGGAGATTAGAGAAAGCTTGGTTATGGCGGTGGAGATTTGGGATCTCAGGAATCCAACGAGGATTTGATGTAAATCCTTGATTTCTAGCATCGATTTGGCAACTCTTTCTCGTTTCCAGGATGATATGAAAAATTCCTTGAGATCAATGAGTGAGTTCTGCTTGGCAACGATTCTGTTGTCGTTCAATTTCAAGTACTAGAACAGAGCTCAGATCGATTTTGGCGAAACGAGAAGACTGCAAGATGCTGCGACTTCTCCCCTGTTGTTGCAGCTGCTCACCTAAACATCCCGCTCATCGACCTCAGTAGCTCCTCCAGAACCACCGCCCGCTTCTCTACAGATTTTCTCACCAATTCATCGAACGCGGCGACGAGCACACCGGCGGCGCCATTGGACATGGTGGAAATCCGGTTCCGCCGGCTCACTCTCCCAGCTGTTGAGCTTCCTCAAACACGTGGCGTCAGATCCTCTCAACTCCGAATGCACAATCATGAATCATCCTCATCAGGTTCTCTCACCGATTCCAGTACTTGCAGAGTACATTTTAGTTTCTAGACATTCAGTCTTCAGTTAGGCGCTCGATAGTCGCAGGAACCCTAATTTGGTTCCCAATTGAAAACTCCTGGACCAAGCAGATCGCCGAGGAGAGCAGCAGCACGAGAAGAAGCTTCACAACGTTGGTGATTTCTTTTCCCCAGCTCAGATCTGTCTTTTTTTACTTAGGGTGTTTTCATCTTGCATTTCCTTTTTGTTTTGAAAGGACAAACACCAAGGAAGCCTCATTGCTGGAGGCCTAGAAGGGTGGCTCCATGAGAAGTTTGTCACTATCAGAAGATTTCTGGTTTCTTTATCCCTGTTGCCAACTTGGTTCGACTGGTAATCAATCTGAGTTTGTCTCTGGGTCTCATGTATACATATGACTCGGCTGACCAATTGTTACTTAAAGTAGATATGTCTTCTCATTCTGGTAGTCCATGGTAATTTGTAGGATTTGGCCAATGACTATTTACATGGAAAGCTCCTAGAAGCAGGCATTTAGAGGACTGTTTGGCATAACTTGTGTTTCAGAGTAGACTGCACTTTCATTAGTTACTGTTGGTTTTATCATCTTGGTATTGCAGAATTTGAGTTTCATTGTTGTGCATGGTCCTTACATTTTTATCACTAGGTAAAAGCGATCACCCAAGATTATAGCCAGGAAGTGAACTGCTGGAAACTTGAAGGTATCGTGGCTCTTCAAGAGGTACCATGACCACTTGCATTGTTCTCATTGCTTTTCCATTCAAGTTAATGAAATAGCATAGGGACATTTCAAGCTTTACTGTGACTGGTTTCTTTCACTTTTACTGATACAACTTATGAATTATGATCAGAACTTTCCAGACAATCACTTGAACCTGAGTCTATTAATTGAATCGCCATGTGTTTTAGGAAGCAGAGGATTTCTTGGTCCACTTATTTAAAGGTGGGATGCTATGTGCAGCTCATGCCAAACGTGTTACATTGAGTGAGGTTATCTCGACCCCTGTTGCAGTTTATCCCGAGCCTGATCTTTTATGGAGCTATGCAGCCTGTTCTACTTGCCTGTCATTACTTGCCTCTCATTACTAGAAAACAAGATCAAAGCTTCGACCAATACTATAGTGGCTTAATTTGAGATGGAAGGCACTTTCAGAATTTTTGTGACTCCTTCCTTGCAGGTTTTGGCACCTCAATTTTGGCATTATGAGCTATAGACTTCACACTATAGAGGCAAAGTAAAAAAGATCTTATGTCTGCATATTCAGGTACCTAAATCTTGCAATAAGGTTCTCCTGTTTCTTCTTATGGGTTCATGAATTTGAGTTTAACAAGTTCATTTCTTTTTGCAGTACTTATTTCTTCGCATGTAATCGATGTAGTGCTTAAAATTAAACATTGTTCTCTCTTTTTCCACCTAAGCTTATTGTTTGACATTGTTTTTGAATTCATTACAGTCAATTACTCGTATTTGAGTAAAATTATTAGAGTTTGCACATATTTTACATTTGTACAACCAAGAGGGTGAAGCACGTGACTTTCTGTTCACTGCCATCGAAAGATACAAATTATGCGTTCTTCAGTGGGTGTGGAATCATCAGAGCGGTGTCTCCATCTTGTTGTAAGAGAAAAATTGAGTCCCACAAGGGATGTGCGAAATGGGAAGTCACATGACGAACCACGCGCTCGTTTCTTCTCTGTTAGAGTGGTGTCCCCATCTTCTCCTACCGCCGTCCCCGAGCCAGAAAGTATCTATGTCCATGCTAGTCGCTCGTAATTTGCTATTTCTGTGTAGTTTCTGTTACATTTTATTTATTAATTACTGACTTGTTAGTGTTTGCAGATTAATTCAATGTAGTCTAAGTGGATTGAAGGTGAACGAAGGTAGCTTATGAATATCGTTGATTTATCTTGATTTACGGATTCTGTTTCCGATTTGGCTATGTCTTTCTGAGTGATTTAGTGATTTTTGGTTCCGCAAGTAAGTGTTCAAGAAAGATAACTTGATGAACAATTGAGAGGCATCGTGGAAGGTGAACTGGGAGTTGGTTGGGTATAGTGTAGAGGCATTGCTAATTAAGGACATAGTTCTTTATTATTTTGGTCACTTGGAGAGGTTGTACGTTGCTGATCAAATTGCTCTATTCCCAGATGACAGCAAACAACTTGAACAACGGGGTTAACTACTTTATGAACACTACGAATGTTAAAGGTGAAGGATGCTATAATAGACGAGAGTACCATTTACTTATAGAGTGTAAGTCAGTAATCTAAATTCATTTGTTGTATGTATTGTTCCAGCTTTCCATAAGTTCCTTCGTTGTGTATTTCTGTTTGCTTAGCTGAACTTGGTCAACTTTCAAGTACAAGAAAGTAAAGGGGAAAAGTATGTGAGAAACTCTTACTTTTTCAAGCTTGATGAGAGAAAGGAATTCACACATCAGGTAAGCATTTTGTTTAATGGTTTTGCCTTTGGGTTTTGGTTTTCATTTGTCCCTCTCTGCTTTGCACAACCTTTCGAGTTCTCTCTGTAGAAGGCCAACTTCAATTGAAGGGCTTAATGTAGCTAAGTGCATTACATCAGTTGCACGGCTAAAATGAAACTTAGCCTTTGTCTCACTGGTTTTTATTTGAATCGAACATGATGGTGTTAAATCATGTTCTAATTGTGCTCTTTAGTAGTAAAAACCCCAAATCTTATTAAGTCCTTCGAAGCAAGATTTTGAGGGGATGTAGTAAGTCCATAAAATCCTCAAAAGGATTTTATAGTTGCTTTGGTGGTTGCTTTTTGGGATTGATTGGCAGGTTACAAAGGATCTATTTATTTACAATGAAATGGGATCTCAGCCAATTATCAGCAGGTGAGCTTGTGGGAGCCAGAAACATGTATGCACCTGGATTCTATTCTTTACTTGTTGTCTTCCCAATTTGGCCACATCATACTTTATAAAACTGATTTTAGGTATCTATGTCAACTAGATTTTAGGTATCTATGTTAACTGCCTTCTAATTGGAACCCACTTTGCCTCTGCTGGTTCTGGTTTTGATGACAGCTTCTGCTCTTAATGTGAATTATTTCATCAGTGAGTACATGGTAAACTGATAACTTTTTCCAACAGCATCATACATAGCCATCTTGTTTCTCTTGTTTTTATTTGGTAATCTAGAACTTTGGAATACACACTCTCCAGGAAGCTAGGGAAAAAGCGAACGAAGGAAAGAGGAACGATTATCGAAGGAGAAAGGCATACCTCAACAAATGCGCGAATTAATGGAATTCTACAAAAAAAACACAGGTTTCGAAGCTTTCAGCCAACCAATTCATGTAATTGTGATTTTTGGAATAGGGGGTTGATTCTTAGTGATAATATTGTGTAATTGTGATTTTGGTTACTAAACAATAAATTATGTAATTACAATTTTGGTTACTATACAATTTTGTTATATAATACAATTTTGTATTATCATTCTATTTAATTTTTAATATTTTAATTTAGTGACCAAAATCTCATTGACCCAATTGGTTATATGAAATAAATTATTTGGTCGCCGTTCATATATTTTACAACCAATAATTATGGTTGTGTTAAAATTTTATAACTATTAAATTAGTTACCTAAATATTATGATTGGTCGGCATATTTACTTTTTATGACCAATTTTTGAGGTCGGGTTAAACTTTTATAACTAAAATTATTGGTCACCAAAGTGCTTTAATTGGTTGAGGTGTGTATTTTTCACGACCAATTCTAATGGTTGTGTTAAAATTTTATAACAAAATTAGTTAGTCGTTAAAATGATATGATTGGTCGGCATATATATTTTTCACGACCAAGTTTTATAGTTGCGCTATACTTTTATAACCAAAAAATTTGGCTGTCATAATGATATTATTGGTTACATCAATTGGTTGTTATTTGTATTTATGGCGACCAAACACCTACATTCCGTAACCATTAGTTTGGACTATAGCAACGAAACAGAAATGGTTGCAAAAAATCAAGGGTTTTTACCTTTGACAAAATTGGTTGCGATAGCTTGTTTTTTCGCTACCAATCACTATTTTGGTTGCATTAGGTATTCGTAACGCGGCTATAGCCACCAATTCTGCTACCAAAATATTTTGGTTGCGAATAACCAATTTTGGACTTTTAGGGACCCATTATTTTGGTTGCAAAAGCCTTTTTTTCTTGTAGTGATTTGTTGTGTGTTCGATCCACTTCAGCATAGTTAGTAAAATACGGTACGGGAAAGTTACGTAAAAGATACGTACGGGCATTATACTTCATCTTTAAACTAAAATTACGTTTAATAGTACGTTAATAGTCATAAATATATAAAATTAATCATTTTAAAAATAAATAAATATATAAATAATAGTAAAGTTAACAATTTAATTCGTAAAATACGGATAATAAACGTGTTATACGGGTTTTATACGTGTTTAGTACGGGAACCATGAAATGAACGGGGGGAAATGAAACGGCTTGACAATAATACGGATACGGAAGTTTTAAACGGATAAAGTACGTACGGATACATATACGTGTATTAAACGGAGTATTTACTAACTATAGTTCAGCAATCCGTGGGTTTATAAAATTTTTGAGTAGCATCAATCGCTCTTATAAAAAAAGAATATAGACAAAAAAAAAATTCCTAAGATATGAAAACACATTGATGTTGTTTATAAAAAAAAAATTGTATTAATCAATTAATTCTTCTTTTATGAATGAACTTACTTGAATATTAATCTTAAAAATATTTATTCAAATATTTATGTAATATAAATGGACACACCTGTTTCTATCTTCTAGCTCCACCAATAGACCATATGTACATGCATTTCTATACTATTATTATACAAATATCTTTCATCTATGTATATATTTTCGAATACAAAATAGATGCAAATATATAGGATGGAGAACACACTTCTAGTTTAGTAATATTGAAACAATATCTTAACTTTAAAATGTCGAGTAGGATTCTTATACACGTCTTGCTAATTTTCTCTTTTCAGTGAATTAAGTAGTGTCTAATTCGAATATTAATAACCTCCTCCTTATCCATGAAGAAAAATTATACCTATTTCAACAAAGTTTTCTAAGCTTACCAATTACCAATACCATGAACATCATCTGGCTCTCCATCAGTATGTGGTTCACTTGAAATAAAAAAATGAGTAGTATACCGACACAAGTCATTGCAATATTGAGATTCAGGTGCATCAATCTATATGCTCTATGATGTAATGCATGTCAAAAGTATGTGCGTGCTACATTTTGTCAGTGAATTATGTGACCTATTTAGGGATTGTAAAATCGTACCAGTGTTGCATCGGATAAGTCAATGCCACAATATTTTGTGCTTAAATTGAGATTCAACTTTTTTTTTATATATATATTTATAAAATTGTGATTGACGCTTTTTTCGATCAAACCATCTATATGCAATGGTATAGTTTTTCAAACACTGTGTACCATCAAACCAAATGTACTATTCATCTCAGTTACTCGGTTTCTTAACGGATGTCATTGTATCAAGCCAACTGAAGAACTCTCCAGTTAGAGTAAGAGTAGGAGTAATACAAGAGCCACTCGTTTCGTCTGGCTGAAATACATAACGGTGACTACAATTGCATCTATCTATCTATCTATACTTTACCCAAACTAAAACTAAAGGGCAGACAGAATTTCCACCACATGCATTTCAAAGCACTCCAGCCAATTATATGAAAAGGGGACACAATGATTGAACAAGCAATACACACACTATTAATTATATGCATAAACAACAAATATTATTATTATTTCAAACAAATCTCAACCGTTCGACCCAACATTCGAATCCAAACCACAGGAAAACATTGAGAATTTCGGAAAAGAAATTTAACACATACTTCCTCAAAGGAAAGCCAAAAGCAAAGAACGCGAAAATGCAGAGAAGGGTTCGAATCAGTTGTAGCCTTCGGGCTTGTAAGCGATGAAGGAGATGCACTGCACCTGACGCTTGTTGTCGAACCCGATGATGCGGACGAAGGCCTGTGGGTACTCCTTGACGCACTCCTGGAGCTCCTTCAGCACCTGGGACGAGTCGGTGCACCCGAACATGGGCAGCTTCCACATCACCCAGTACCTTCCGTCATAGTACCCCGGGGACCTGTTGTTCTCACGGTACACGAAACCGTGCTGCACATATCGACACACAAGTTTCAGCACGCACATTATAACATAATACTACGCGCATTTGAAAGACTTGAAGAACGAACCTCCAACTCGAACTCGAGGCAAGGAACCCATCCGGAGCGGAGCAGGTAGTCGACCTCCTTGCCCAATTGCTCCTCCGTCAATGGGGGAAGGTAGGAGAGGGTCTCGTACTTCTTCAAACCCAGTGGTGGCCACACCTACACCAATTTTTACCAACCATATCTTTTAATTATGTTCAATAAAACAAAGAGAGAGAGGAGGGAATTAAGATCGAAATTAAGTGAAAGTTGAGCCGAACCTTCATGCACTGGACTCTGCCACCGTTGCTTGTGATGGAAGTAATGTCGTTGACGGACTTCCTGGTGGCGGGGAAGGCGGCGGTGGACTTGAGGCCGGTGAAAGGGGCGACCATGCTGGCCTGAGCGCCGGTGCGGCTCACGGTGGCTACGGCGGAGGACGAAATCATGGACGCCATTTTTATGGAAAAGAAACTTTGCCTTACTGGGTGTTCAGTAAAGCAGCTCTTTGCTTAATGTTTGTTTATCTGCGTCACACCACCAATCGGGGTAACATTTTTATAGTGGTGTGCTACAATTCCCGCTTGCTGCCGTCCGTTGGTTGTTGATTTGCTGGATGAGGGTAAGGGATTGGATCTGACCGCAGGTTTGGATTAGGTTGATGAGCTCGTAACCATTTGTGGAAACATAAAAATGTGGATTTTTATGTTTGTAGTTGTTTTTGACTTAAATATTTGAAATATTTTATGACTTATGTATTGAAAAGTTTGATTTTATCATTGATAATGCATATAATTGCATATTTATTGTTTATATTAGGGGTAAAAAATAATTTAAAAGTGAGAAGATACAAATAACTTAACAAATTCGGTTTTGTGTGAAAAACCGAACCGAACAGAATTATAATTCGGTTCGAATTTGGTTTTAGGTTTGGAAGAATTCGGGGACCCGGTATTCATAATTTCGGTTCGGTCGAAACCGAACCGACCAAATGTCCACCCTAGAAGCAGGGTATATTGCACTTCAATGGTGAGAACAAAGTTTAAGAGTCTAAAAATCCATTGAGAGATACCATATCCATATGTGAGACAGTAAAAATGAAAGTCCAACCCATGTGAGAACAAAGCTTTCATTACATATACTTTAAGGGCACAACGAGGAGATATATTCTTCCTATTGTACATCTTCACCATTTCATGAGTCAGAGTATATTATCACTTCTCACCTCCCCTTGATAAAAGCATACTGGTTTAGACTTATGATATGAGGCAGAACTTCCTTCAATCTATTAACTAAAACCTTAGCAACACACTTGTAAAGTATGTTGCAACATGAGATAGACCTATATTGCTTCATGTTTTCAGCATTTCGAGTCTTTAGTAATTAATCTAGGAAAGCACTCCCTCCTCACATAAAAACACACAAGATAGACTTGTTCCACCTTTGTTTCGCAGATGACCAGTTTATCTTTACCAAGGGAACTCCTGAAGCTGTTATTATCACTAAAAAGATCTTTTAGGGGTCGTTTGGAAGTTGCGATTGTTTTGTTGAGATTGTCATTATTCATGTATTGTTTACAATGCATTGTTTTTTTTGTTTTTTTAGCAGAAACAATACATGTATTGTTTCTGTGATGTGACAGAAACTATCACTCATTTTGAGTGATTGTTATATCTCAACTTTTAGTTGTGATTGTTGAGATAGTTGAGTTGGGATTGTTTTGTCTCAGCTTTTAGCTAATGCGACATACACAATCACACATACCAAACATTGTATTCTACAATGCATCAAATTCAACAATACATGTATAATATTATACATACATTCTCAACAATACATCTATTTAACAATTGCAACTTCCAAACGACCCCTTAGATTCCTTCTATGAGCAGTGGCGGAGGGAGAGGGTAACAGGGTGGGTCCCGGGACCCACCCTGGTTCGTGAGGAAAATGGTTAAACTAGGTACAATAATTAATTGATATCGAAAATTAGGTCACATTTAATTGATAATAGTAGTTTTGTGTTTGAATCTAATACGGTATACATATTTGTGCAAACTTCAATTTCGTATAAGTTGATTTTCTTATGAGGGAGCATGCTAGTAAATGGTATCATAATATTATTGAATCTCTTCCAACAACTCGATTTATTGATACTAAATGTTTTTTTTACAAAGAACATTATTCGAAAGCTAAATCATGAATTATTGATTGTTGTAGGATTTATTATTAAACCTCTATCAACAACTCAATTTATTGATACTAACGGTTCTTGACAAAGAACAACATTTGAAACAGTACGAGTGTACGACTATCTAAATCAATAATTGTTTGGTACGTAGAATGATATTCTTGATAATTTTTACTACTAATGCATTTTAATTTACCAAAAAATTTCAATTTAAGATTATATTAACAAAAATATTTCATCATATGTATTTTTTTTCTAGGTGGATCCACCTTATACAAAATCCTGGCTACGCCACTGTCTATGAGGTCTCTGGTCTTAAGTGTAATCCATCAAAGAGCGAGATTTTTTGTGCTGGTATTGATTCTCACACTAAGAGCATGATCGCGTTTGCCACTTGATTTCATATTGGTACTCTTCCTGTTAGATATCTAGGTATGCCCTTAATTAGTTGCTAGGAAATTAAATGCATCAGATTGTAAAGCCTTAGTATGACTGATCATAAATAACACGATCTTCACCCTTGATAAAGTCCATAGCTGAAATAACTCGGTGGTAAGTTATTGAATATGTTAATTTGATGCATACTGGAGTCCTTCAACATGAGATTGGGCCGAAGTTGTAAGCGAGACTCACTTCACTTCCCCAACCGATGCAAAATTCTGTTTGCCTCCAACATTTAACTATTGGCTTCTTTCTGCGGTTCAGAGGAAGAAGTGGAAGGATAGCTCTGTCGAAGACACAACTATGCATTTATTTTTGTTTTCAGCCTATTTTGGAGTACAAAAACCTGGATCAAATTCCTTTTTTTTTTCCCCTATGTTTAATGTCTCGCTAAAGTATTTTATCATCCTAGCAAGTAGCAATAACCTCTGCTTCTTTGTGGCAATGACCCATTTTTTGATTAGATGGATATGAGGATTGGACTGGGCTGGAGTTTTCATGGGTCACTAATTTAGTACTCCACATTTTCATCATCTAATTATTATGTCAATGCATAAATTGTCTTGGTTTCGTTTGGAGATAATAGAAAATCAAGTTAATAATAACGAATCTTATGAATAAATACCTCTTAAATCAGGGTTGTATCGAATAAGTCAGTGTTATAAGGTATTTTATGTTTAAATTGTGGTTCAATTTTTCATACCAACAAAATCGTATATCGACTTAGGCATCAGTACGGTGCGATTTTTCAAATCATTACCATCAGTACGGTGCGATTTTTCAAGCACGGGTCCATCATGTGCCAAATGTACTATTCATCTTAGTTACTCCTGTTTCTTATCGGATGTCGTCATTGTATTTCTACGATTAGCCAACTGAGAAAAGTCTCCAGTTAGAGAGCAAGACTAGGAGTAACACAATAGCCACTCGTTTCGTCTGGCTGAAATACCTAGCTGTGACTACTGCATCTATCTTTATCTAAAGGGCAGACAGAATTTCCACCACATGCATTTCAAAGCACTCCAGCCAATTATATGAAAGAAGAAGGAAGCCTAAGGTGATTCAATAATTGAACAAGCAATACACAGACCATCGTTATATGCTTAAACAATAAACATTATTATTTCAAACAAGTCTCAACCATTAATCCAACCACAGAAAAAACACATTGAGAATTTCGGAAAAGAAATTTAACATACACACACTTCCCTCAAGGGGAAACAATTAGGAAAGCAAAAAGTGAAGAACGCGAAAATGCAGAGAAGGGTTCGAATCAGTTGTAGCCTTCGGGCTTGTAGGCGATGAAGGAGATGCACTGCACCTGGCGCTTGTTGTCGAACCCGATGATGCGGACGAAGGCCTGGGGGTACTCCTTGACGCACTCCTGGAGCTCCTTCAGCACCTGGGACGAGTCGGTGCACCCGAACATGGGCAGCTTCCACATGACCCAGTACCTTCCGTCATAGTACCCTGGGGACCTGTTGTTCTCACGGTACACGAAACCGTGCTGCATATGTCAACACACAAGTTTCAGTACTCGTACTACAACATAATACTACTACTACGATAAGAGACCGGAGAACGAACCTCCAACTCGAACTCCAAGCAAGGAACCCATCCGGAGCGGAGGAGGTAGTCGACCTCCTTGCCCAACTGCTCCTCCGTCAATGGGGGAAGGTAGGAGAGGGTCTCGTACTTCTTCAAACCCAGTGGTGGCCACACCTACACCAATTTTTACCCGCCATGTCCGATTAACTAATTATGTTCAATATAAACAAAGAGAGAGGAGGGAAGAAAGAAATTAAAGTGAAGTTGAGCCGAACCTTCATGCACTGGACTCTGCCACCGTTGCTTGTGATGGAAGTAATGTCGTTGACGGACTTCCTGGTGGCGGGGAAGGCGGCGGTGGACTTGAGGCCGGTGAAAGGGGCGACCATGCTGGCCTGAGCGCCGGTGCGGCTCACGGTGGCCACGGCGGAGGACGAAATCATGGATGCCATTTTCTATAAAAAGTTGCCTTACTGGGTGTTCAGTAAAGCTGCTCTTTGCCTAATGTTTGTTTATCTGAGTCACACCACCAATCGGGGTACACTTTTTATAGTGGTGTGCCCCAATTCCCGTTTGCTGCCGTCCGTTGGTTGTTGATTGCTGGATGAGGGTAAGGGATTGGATCTGGCCTCAGGTTTGGATTAGGTTGATGACAAGCTTGAGGGTCATCACAACTGTAAATTAACCACAAATCCATATATGTGTAGGAAGTTGGGTTGGCTTGGGAGATAGGGTTTACGGGCCGGCTAGTTAAATAGGAGATGCCAACCAATCTTGTAATCTATAAGTATTCTCGGTGAAATATAATTGACTCTGAGAGGTTGCTCCTCTTCGTGGATTAGTATCAACGATATTCGGTGGGTATACAACATCAAATTCGGTGTTTGTGTGTGATTATTCTTCGATTAGTATTGTGTTTGACATGGTATCAGAGCCTGGGTTTATCTTATATCACTTCTGAGGACCAAACGGCTGACTTACTCACGAAAGCCAGGGCTTCTTCGCGACATTAATTGGTTTTTGGCGTTCAAATTGATGTTGCGTAAGCATCATCAATTTGAGGGAAGGTGTTAGAAGTATAGAGGCCAATTGTAAATTAACCACAAATACATATACGTGTATGAAGTTGGGTTGGCCTGGGAGCTAGATAGGGTTTACGAGTCAGCTAGTTAAATAGGAGATGTGGACCAGTCTTGTAACCTACGCATTCTCGGTGAAATAAAATTGACTCTGGGAGGTTACTCCTCTACGTGGATTAGTCTCAACGATATTCGTTGGGAATACCGCGTTAAACTTGGTGTTTGTGTGTGATTATTCTTCGTTTAGTATTGTGTTTGACAGCAGGTATATTGCACTTCGATCAGTGGAGAACAAAGTTTACCAATATGTTTGCCTAAGCCATTTCCAACTTTGTTTTCAAATATCCAACTTTGTACTCGTCTCATATCAATGTGGAAAAGATTTTACAAATCCATTCTCATATTCGTGGGTTTCGGGTACCCCGTGGATAATACCCACTATATACATTCAACATTGTTATACTTATTACTGGTGAGGCGGGGAGGGTAAAACTTTACCCGCCTCATACCCATCAAACTTTTTTACGGGTTTTATCCATACCCACCTCATACTCAGCCAATGTGGGAATCCCCGCGTTGACGGGATCAGAGAAGATCGGTTATCCACAATCATGGGTTTGATTGCTATCCCTATACCCATGGAGAGATACAATGTGAGACATAAAAATGAAAGTCGAACCCACATGGTCCAATTCTATTAATCGCCGATTTGAGCGAATTAATTTCGGAGGGCATTTTTCGTAACTTTTGGGATATTTTTTTGAAAGAACATTTTCCTTAGATTATTTTCTTATTATAATCATATGCATTTTTTTAATTTGAAACTTGATATCAAACCATCCTCCCTTAATTGGGTTACAAGAAAAAAATAGGGGAAACTCTCCCACACTTCTTCCTCCTCCCAATTGTACAATACGTGGGCCATTTGGTGTGCTGCTTTGTTTTCATTCCGGCCCACATGAGCCCACTCGACCCGACCTAGTCCCCTTGCTTTCTCTAGCACTTCGCGACACACATCTCCCACCTCTGTTTCCTCTGGTTCTCCACTTCTCAACTGAAAAATGGTGAACAAAAAATCAGATTCCACCACACACTCCTCTATCCCCATCCGCCATCCCAGCTCCACTCCATACAAGATCGCCAGGGACCCTGCCAGGGCTGGCGGCCACCAGATTCTGCTCCTCTTCACTGCCGCTCCCCAAAATCTCCCATGCAAATCACGAATCACCACTCCAAACCCCTTACCTTGATCCTTCAAAAATGATGTGTCAACAATTATCTTCACCCCAACATCAATTGGTGGTTCCCAGTGCATCTGGGCTATTTGTGTGGTGCCCTCTTCGCTTCGATTATGTTCAAGGTATTCCTCTAACCATCGCTCCACACAACCCATTATTTCATATTCCTCCTTCTTTTTCCCATTCCATATATGTCTGTTTCTTTCTGCCCAAATGAACTACAACGCCACTAGGAATTCACCAATCTTCTCCTGTGATTCAGTCTCCTGTAATACACACATCCAGTTCTCACCAATAAGTTCCTCTCCTTTTAGAAATAGGTCTTTTAGAACACTCGGGCGCCAGACTCTGCGAACCTATGCACATTCACGAAAGATATGTTCCTGGGTTTCAATTAAATTGCAGAAAGGGCACTCTTCACACCCCTTATGGATTTTGTCCACCATATTCTTATTAGCAGGAAGAAGATTCTTGATCCACCTCCAACAAAAATCTTAACATTTGGTGGTACCTTGATTTGCCAGAAGCTCTTCCGATTAATTGGGACATCAAATTCTTCTTGTCCCTCCCTCTGCCTTCTCTGTCAATCCTAATACGCTAAATACCACCTTCTTCTCCCTCCCAATGCGTTTTTGGCAGATTTCAAAGGGGTAGCATCGCAGATTTCAGACCAATTTTCAAAAGACCAATTTTTTTGGATTATGAAGGCTACAAATCACGGATTGGGTCTGAGGTTATTATTCACCGATGAATAAATCTATTAAGCACTGATTTGGGCGAGTATTTTTCAGGGTCATGTTTTTTGCAGATTCCAAAGGGGGTATCATTGCAGATTTCAGGCTTTTTTCGAAAGGCTATTTTCCAAGTATTTTGAAGGCTTCAGATCACATATTCAACTTTAGGTTATTCTCCATAGATGATGAAGTCTATCAATCGCTGATTTGTGCAAAAAATTTCCAGAGGGCACTATCATGATTTTTGGGTGATTTTTTTGAAAGATTATTTTCCTTGGATTTCGAAGGCTACCGATCGTGAATTCGACCTCAAGTTATTCTCCATCGATGATAAAGTCTATTAATCTCTCATTTTTCATAATGTCATTTTTCTTTGATTTTTTGAAGTCTACAAACTACGAATTTGTTATGAGGTTATTTTTCACCGTTGGGTAAGTTAATTCAGCACTGATTTGGGAGGATTTTTTCTGAGTCCATTTTTAGCAGATTCCAAAGGGGGTCAGGATTTCGTTTTTTTTTTTTTTTTTTTTGAAAGATCAATTTGTTTAGATTTTGAAGGTTACAGACCACTGATTCGGCCAGAGGCTATTCTCCACCGATGATAAAGTCCTATTAATTATCAATTTTGACGAATATTTTTCGGAGTGCCTTTGATAATTTTTTGGGTTAGTTGTTCAAAATATCATTTTCTTTTGATTTTGAAGTCTACAGATCACGGATTTTGCTTAAGGCTATTATTCGCCATTGATTAATACAATTAAGCACCTATTTGGGTTGATTTTTCCAGGTAAATTTTGTGTAGACTCCAAATGGGCACTATCATAGATTTTAGGAATGTTTTGAAACACCAATTACTTTGGATTTTGAATACTACATATCACTGGTTCGGTCTGAGACTTTTTTCCACCGATGATAAAGTATATAAATCGCCGATTTTAGTGGATTTTTCCAGAGGGCATTTTCCTAAAATATTGGGCAATTTTTTCAAAATTCCATTTCCCTTTGGTTTTGAAGGCTACAGATCACGAATTCTGTCTAAGGCAATTCTTCACCGTTGATAAGTCTAATAGGCAATGATTTGGGTGGAATTTTCCTAGTTCATTTTTTGCAGATTCCAAAGTGATAACATCGCATATTTCGAGTAATTTTATCGAAAGACCAAATTTTTTTAGATTTTGAAGGATACACATCACAGATTCAGCCTGAGACTATTCTCCACCGATGACGGAGTCTATTAATCACTCATTTGGGCGGATTTTTTGGAAGGGCATTTTCATCATTTTTTGCGCTTTTTTTTTTAAACTTTAAAGGCTGCAGATCACGGATTTAGTCTGAGACTATTCTTCACCAATGATTAAGTCTATTAAGCAGCTATTTGGGCAGATTATTCCGGGGCCATCAAGATTTGAGACATTTTTTATCAAACGATTATTTTCCTTGGATTATGAGGGCTATGGATCACGGATTCAGCTTTAGGTTATTCTCCATCGATGATGAAGTCTATCGATCGCTGATTTAGTGGATTTTTTTCTGATGACACTTTCGTAATTTTTTAGATAGACCATCTTTCTTAGATTTTAAGGGCTACAGATCACAAATTCGGCCTGGAACTATTCTCCACCGATGATAAAATCTATTTGAACGCTTATTTTGGAGACGTTTTCCCGAAGGGCATTTTTGTAATTTTCTGGATTGTTTTTTAAAAATACCATTATAATCGGGAGCCATGTGATCCTATCACTTCCTTAAGAAAATTTCTTGATTTCACCATGACTTGCTTCTGAACTAAGGCAGGGCGCAGAGAGAAGAGGTTCCATGACCATTGATCATGATCACTCGCTAGCTATGTTAATGCTAGTAAGAAAATAAAAATTTATTTGAAATATTAGAATTTACAAAATTATTCAGATAAGTTACCTACGTAAATTTCATATAGTGTATTAATCATTATATTAATAACATATATGTAATCCGTTTATTTAAGTGATGTATAATAAATAACTATCCTGCAGAAGAAAAGAGTTGTAGTTGAATGACAATGAGCTTATGATAAAATTGGATGTAGAAGGTAGAATCTCTTTGTGAACATCATATGTTATAAAAAAAGGTAAAAAAATAAATAAATATTGTTCCTATTTTTAGTAATTAACAGTAAAATACTTTTGATTTTAATTATATAATATAATAATATGTGGTATAATAATAAAATTAAATTTTATAAATTTACATATGATTAAAACTATTATATCAAAATTAATTAACCTTGCGGAACTTTTTTTTTTTTTTTTTTTTTGACAAAAGGTAATCATATATTAGATCAAACAGATAGTTACATCCTGGAGAGCAGCCAGGTCTGAAAATCAAAGTGACGGTACATAGCCGGGTACAGAGAGAGGGCCTT